TGTTTGGTTCAGTTGTACTTCTCATTATTTTACACCATATAATGCTATCCCCTTTAATATATTCTCACACTGCCGATCTACTGATTGACCTTTTCATACGTTAGCTAATGTGTTCTGTTTCCATCTATGTAAATAAATGTGATTGTTTGTTCTTCCCAGTACGACTGTGTGCTTTTCCCTCCTTTCATCATGGCCTAAGAGCCAGGTCATGACATGGGCTACTTAAGTGAATTATCTGTATATTTCTTCTACCGCTGATCATGTCCAGCAGCACCCAACAGGTGTGAGGGTGTAGGTCATCTATTTAGGAGATGTACTCAGAGAAAAAAACAGCCTTCCAGCCTTCTGTAGGAATTCAAACATTGAACTGGACCTGCAGTGAGGACCTCAGTTTGTAGGTTTGTCTTTGTAAAACTTTAAAATTTTGACCTGAATATCAAACAGTAACTGATCAGGAGAGCAGTGCCAGCCACCAGAGGGCCCCAGAAACCAAGCTGAAACTGCAGCCTACTCCTTCATTGCTGTGGTAATTTAATGCCTTTCTGATTCATAAAATAATCTGCCAGAAAATCCAAACTTTGTAGAATCTATACTATCTCTCTGACTGCTGCTGAGATTTTATCTACGCTGCTTTTCAAATGCCTGGATCAAATCCTGTCAACACTAATTTATTGTAATTTACTGTACTTTATTGTATTTGTTAACCATGAGGAAATGTGCCTGGAGCCAATTTATTGTATTGTAATCGTTCATTGTTTGCTTGTCTTGTTTCATGCACACTCCACAATCTCCTTTGGATTATAAAAGTGATTATTATTGGATGGATAAGCAACATGAAAATTATTTGAGCAGGCGACACATGTGTGTTTGCCAATAGAGTATGGAATTTAAACAAAGTGAAAAACAAATCGAAGTGTATTCATCATGGAGATTTGACGGTGATACAACAGCCTGTAATATCCTGCTGACCAGAATACGGGGTGGCCATGCTCTTATCTTCAATGGAAAGTGTGTTTTTCGAAGTAGTTCAATCTGTCTGTTATTCAGCAAACACACACACGACAGAAAATCACTTCCGTGGGTTTTCGTCTTGTTGATGAGATTGTAGCTACATTCACTGAACATACACCGCGACACCATATGAGTCAAGTATTGTCCTTTATTGGAAGTGATTTGATAAGGGATAAATATATGAAAGGTAAAAGCACAGGACATAAAATATTTACTCAGGATCAGTACCGTCATGAACAGCAACTCTCAGTGCCTATCTACCCTCCATTTTACAATCAAAGACATCAAATCACACATTACAAGAAACATTATTTACTATTTCTAAAAAAGGATACATCAAAGCAGTGCTAACTTGTGTTATTAAAGAATAGTTTGACAAAAGTTGTCGGGCATTCAGTTATTACAAACTGTACTTGTTTTGTCTGCACAGTGAAGCTGGTTAGTTTAGTTTTGCATTACTATAAGATGATAAACAGCTAGCGTTGCTCTGTATCTATATCTAACTCCCAGCAGGAAAGTGAGTTAGTTTATTTTTCAAAATATTAAACTCTTCCTTTCAAAATTAATCTTTTATCTGTACAATAAATATGTAGCTACTGCCAACAGCTGGTTAGCTTAGCTTAGCATCAACTGGCCCAGTAAGAAAAGGCAACAAAATTAATCCAGCAGCACTTTTAACATTCCCATATTATATAAGATTTGCAAAATCCATACTGAAACGTAAGTGTAGAAATGATAACCAGTTAGCCAAGTTACACATCCCTGTCCTTAGCAACATATTTGTTGTAGCCTACAGCTAACTCTCAGCCAGAAAACAACTTTTTTTTGCACAGTTGAACTACTCCTTAAACAGGTGTCCTAGTAAGCCATGCCAGTGAAGCAAAATGGCTCTGGTACATCTAAAATTGAAAGAATGGATGGATGGATGGATGGATGGATAGATGGATGGATAGATAGATAGATAGATAGATAGATAGATAGATAGATAGATAGATAGATAGATAGATAGATAGATAGATCGATCCCATGAGTGAAACTACTTCTAGCCTCCAAATAAAGAATATAACCATCATTACATTAGTACACCTGTTTTTACTGTGACACACTGCTCAAAACAAAGTCCTTATCACTTTCCAGTTACAGCTTATATCACCTTGATAAGCCAATGCAAGTCAAAAGGAAAGTTACTTTATGTGCTATCCCCAGCAATAAATGTTACGTTTCACTTTCTTTGTTGTCCTTCTTTTCATATGAGACAAATATTTGACTGACCTGGTTCCACTAAAACTGCCTCAGCCTGGCGTAGCTCCTCTGTCAGTGTTTAATAAAGTGCCTTTAATAGCTTGGTGCTCTCTGTCAGTTTGAAGGAAAACCACTGAAACCCCTGAGGAAGCTGTAACCAGGCAACTAAAGCAGGCTGTGGGCTACCTGTTTTCTTCTGATCAAAGAAAATGGAAGGTCAGACACAAAGGCCAGGCCCTAAATTGTCAGGGCAAGATCATAAAGATGAAAGAATTTGTTGTATGTCTATCTATCTGTCTATCTATCTATCTATCTATCTATCTTATCTTGTCTTCTTTTTGAACACTGTACATGCATGCAATGACAAAACTAATCCTGAGGAAAAACTGTCCGACACCACTCAGGGGGTTGCTGTTCCCAGCTGTCAAGTCTGCTTGTGTTGTGCAAGACAAAACTGTATGTGTGTTTGTGTTTTGTGTGTGTGTGGTGTGTGTGTGTGTGTGTGTGTGTGTGTGTGTGTGTGTGTGTGTGTGTGTGTGTGTGTGTGTGTGTTTGTTATTAGTACTACAGAAGTCACAGAGGAAATTGAGGTACAGAATTACTTTCCAGTATGCAAGTGATATGTGGATTTTTATCAAAAGCAGGAGACACGCAGGACTGTTTTCCCATGAATCTACTCTGGAGGGTTACGTGTGTAAGGACATTAACTGGCTGAGGCAACATTCATGCTGTTATGGTATCCAAACTAATGAATAAGTAAAACCTGGAAATACCCCCTGAAATAAACCTTTTACTTACAGATCTGATGAATCAGGAAGCACCTGATACAAGGCGGAAGGCGGAATTAGGGCAATCCAGTAGAAAGATAAGACAACAAGGAAATTATTGACTGAGCTGATCTATGTGTTTGACCCTTCCATGAGCTATCTGCCTGTTTCAGTGCATCCTACAGATATATGTGTATGATAGCATGATTAGGATTCCAGTGTCAGACTCTGTTTGACCTTTTCATATGCCAAAACAAAAAAGATCAGTTCCCTCTCGCAAGGGATCAAGGTGAATGAGGCCAATGACTTTGATTTTTAGCTGAAAAATTATTTTGTCTTCTGCATTGAGGCACCTTATATAACTTCTTTCAGGCTCAGCATGGACCCTGCAGATACACATTATACTGTAGATGCTGTATGCGGTGAATTCTGTATTCATCGTTTGCATCCTCCTGAGCTTTACAAGTGTTGGATAGGGAGAAGCATTCACACCTCTGGGAAGATGCTCTTTCTTTTAAAAAAGCAACAGAAAGCACTGAAAGCTGTAATTATTCTTAATATGTGAACAAGGCAAAATGTGATGCATTTTCTTACACTAGTGAGGCAGGCAAAGTATGTGACTGAGGAGGATATAAACACTCAAAAGAACAGCTTGAGGAAATCTCCGGCCAACTATGCAGTTCATGTTGTTCCTGTGATCTGCAGAGATTGCTTATATGAGAATCTCTCTAAATTAAAATGCAGAGAGCGAATGTGCTAATCTTTTTGGAACGGCTCCACAAACAAGGAGAGTCTGGCCCTGTGGAGTCATTAAGTGTTTGTCTCCAGCTGAGCTTCATTTCATAGCACATTAATGTGCCCATAGCCCCTTAACAGTTACTTGAGTAACAATGTACAATGGCACCATTTAAGTTCCACTCATTGTCAAGTGTCGCTGGAGTCCATCAGCGCCTCCGGCATCTCGGGTCCTTTATTCCACACAAAATGAAGGCTGCTACTTCATTCAGTGGTGTTTTGAAAGGAAAGACAGGTGAGAGGAAGGAAGTAAGGGAGAGGAGAGGGGATTGACAGCCTGTAAAGGTCAGATTGGGCCAAAGCAGCAGAAGCACACAGTCAATTATGCTGACAAGGACCTCTGAGAGCTCTCTTACCCTTAGGAAAACACTTTGGCTGTTGTGGACTGTCAGAGCCCACAATAGGTTTGCCTTTCTGCGAGGTGTAAAAAACATCCTACACTTGACCTGATCACCAAAACAGCAAGGCCCCTGATGGCAAAAACCTTACCTTCTCCTTCCTGCTTAGACGACATGCTTCTTATTTCAGAAAGATAAAAGTAGAGCTGTTAACATGCTTTCCCTCAGAATGAATATTTAGCACAATCCCCATTGATCTCTCATACAGTTTCTTCCCCTCCCCATGCTGTTTAACATCTACGGCACCAAACACAGCACTGATTTATTCAGCACTAGCAGCACATCTAAAATGTGTTGTGATCTCAGACTTCCTCCTGAATAATGCACACACAGGCAGCGCACCGAATTTGACCTCAGACAGAAACAAAAATTGTTCGACATATCAGATGTTTAGAAGTGGTTTTTACATTCATACCATACTAAAACATTGCTATGTAATACAAGTGTGGGCTCGCTCGTGTTTGAACACATCAGCGCTATATCCTCTGGGTAATTTAGATCCCACACTCCAACCTGTTTCCCACTAAGGACATTGTGCAGTCTGGTCTCAATGTACCATTTTGTCTTTCATGGGAAATCAATTATCAGTTAAGAGCTGAGAATGGTGTGGATGAACTGACCTACAAGGTGACAGCAAAAAAATCAATTCTGGTTTCAACACACACTCAGACAGCAAGGTGGACATGAAGTTTGCTGAACAAAAAAAAGTAAATGCAGTACAAGAATTGAAGAACAAAAGCAAGATTGTGACTCATCACAACCAAATATTACAACATAGACATTATAATCAAAGATGATAGTAAATATTTTTAATTCAGATCAATACCACAAAGTGAAGTGACTAACAACAGGTTTCCTAGGAGATATCTGCTATGCTACACAGTGCTCTTTATTGCCGACCACACCATAAACTATGACTGTGTCACATCTTTTACAGGCCATACATGTACAGTATTTAGCAATGTTATATACAGCAGAAGAACCCTGCTCTGAAAAAGTCCTTCACTGTCGTTTTTATTTTGTTTTATGGCACTTGATATACGGTGGATGTATGTAACATTTTATGAGGAAACCATCTACACGCACAGTATACTGGAACGCAGACCTTGGCAGACGGCAGAAATGTATACAGCTCTTGCCAAGGTTCATTGTAAAAGATCATTACATCGTTTGTAGTGATTTTAGGTAATAAGAAATGCATTAAGATGATGCTAGTAAAACCGGCTGAATGAACGCCTGGAGCCATATAGTTAATGCACTAATGTTCTCTCCTTCAGATGTGTAATAAGCTACTCTGTCAGTAATCACTAACACATCACAGTTCACAATCCCTTAATATTTTCATCAATACTATTAACATAAGACAGCAAAATTGAAATAAGATTTTTTTTTTTTTTTTTTAAAACAACAACCCCAAACCCTTTGTCCTCTCAGTACTCTCCATCGCTCACATTTACAGCGGGTAAAAGTGTGAAAAGCAAAACAGCTGATAGTACACGAGAAGGGAAAACATGACGTTTGCATACCAGATGAAATGCCTTCTCTTCATTCGTATGTGCCCGCAGCACACGGGGAAATGGACTATACAGACTACGGTTGCAAAAGTGCTCATGTAAAGTGTCTTCTGTCGACCAACAATACTTAAGAGTTGTCCAACCTTTGCACCATCATTTTGTTATCTGCTTCCTCTTACATGTGAACTTGTACTGAATCGAGGGCAGCGCGCCATGGGTAAAGTGTCTTCAGTCTGCTCCCTCTGGACTGCTATTGTGAGGTTTAGAACTTTGTAAATGTCAACCTCGCTTTTGCACGCAATGAAGCAAGAAAAGCTCTAAAGGATGACACAATGAGGGCTGGAGAGGCCCCAGTAGTTTTTTGTCTTTGACTGAAAAGGCTTGGATTTAAGTATTGATGCTAATAGATCCATTGCTCAAGATCGACCCCTTGGTGACCTCTGTGCTGACGGTGGAGAGCGGGACCGTCTCGTACCTCTCCGCCACCCCCCAGCAGCGACAGCGCAACAGAGTGGATTTCAGGTGTTTCTGGAAGTTGCTGTTGAGGAACCCATAGATGATGGGGTTGATGCAGGTGGAGGCCATCGCTGTGAGGTGGCAGAATGAGAAGATGATGTCGTGGCTACAGGACGGGATGGCCTCGTGGTTCCAGTCAAACACCGTGTTGAAGATGTTGAGAGGGAGCCAGGAGAGGGTGAACGCCACCACTATGGAGATTAACATGGCGTTGATCCTTGTGGAGCCCTTGTTTTTCTTTTGAGTGGTGTTCCTGCCGCGCTCCACCATGTCCTTCCTCCTCCTTAGACGCAGGTAGATGTGCATGTAGCAGACCATGATGAGGACGAGCGGGAGGAAGTACTGGAAGACGAGCAGGGAGGTGGTGTAAGCTCGCCGTTCTTGAAGCGACGGCCACCGCTCCATGCAGACAGGGTGATCGCTGAGTGGGAAGGGCATGCTCAGGTTCTGGAAAGGCAAGGTAAGTATGCTGTATGAGAGGAAAGGCACTGAGATTAGACAGGCCACGATCCAGGTGACAGCCACGGCCAGGTAGGACTGGCACACCACAGGCTTCCATCCAGTCGGGTGGACGATGAGCTGGTAGCGCTCCATGGCGATGAGGACGAGGGAATAGATGGAGACAGTAACTGATATACACTGGATGAAGGGCGTGAGCTTGCAGAGGGTGTCTCCTAGGATCCAGTGGTCCATCAGAGTGTAGATAATAGTGACCGGCAGGCAGACGATACACATGAGGATGTCAGAACAAGACAGGTTGACGATGAAGATGTTGGTGACATTGCGCATCTCCTTGTGCCGCGTGATGACAAACACCAGGCAAGAGTTCCCAATGAGACCCACCGCCATGACTGTGCTGTAAGCAACGATGAGAAAAGTGGTGCCACTCAATGAGAGCGAGCAGTCCTCTGTGAAATCCCACGGTATCTCTTTCCACAAGGCTTGGTTGTGGTTGGTGCTGTGCTGCAACTCCATGGTGGTTTTCCTGGGCTCACTTCAAAGGCTGGGAACTAATTAAACTAATTTGTTGGGTCACACCTGCTGTAATTACTTCATGAATAACATTTGCATTTTTTTACAGCTTTCCTTCATCTTTAATCTTTGACCATCTTTACAGCCGTCTTCATTTTCTGCCTGAAAAGCAAAGAAAAAGAAATTAGTTACCTTCAACAAATTTCCACTTGTGAAAAGTTTGTTTTTTAAAGTTATAAACTCTTGAGATATTTAAGGGGTCGGTATTAACACTCAAATTGAAATGTAGCCCCCGTGAAAACTGCGACAGGAAAAGAAAGTGACCCTCGCTTGCTGAAAAAGCTCATTTCATCATTAGACAGTAACTTCTTTTAAATGAGGATGTGTGGCAGAGAGTGATTCTCTTGCTGCGGGACAGGATTTTAAATTCACAGCCTCCGCCTCCTGGATGTGATTCCACAAGTTCCTTTTTGTTGCTGAGATGTATTTAGTGGTCCAATTTCACCTTTGCACACACTGGCAGCGGATTCAAAATTACAAAAACAGAGATTTATGAAAGGAATAATTAATGTGGGTATGCAGATATCACGAGGCTGTTGGCAGATTCTCTAGCTCCTCGAGTGCAGGCTATAAGAATAAATGATGCGCTGATGGCATATCATCAAGAAAACAGCACAGATCCAGACTTTGTGGCATCACTATAATGGCACGCTGATTTAAATTTCCATCACAATAACGGTGATAATGACTGCTCCTTCAGAGACAATCATTCCCTCTCACTGTTTTCTCCCCTTTTGACAGCAGGAATTTATTCTGTTTCTGTCCATAAAGGAACAGACACCGCTCGTCGCCACTGAACATTCACAATAGCAGCCTGGATTCTGAAGCACATGTGGTCCTTACAATGTCGAACAAATTAATGTACTGGAAAACAGAAGCACAATTTCATTACACCAAGACCGAGAACATCTGAACACTGTGTGTGTGCATAGATACACGTGTGTGTGTGTGTGTGTGTGTGTGTGTGTGTGTGTGTGTGTGTGGTGGTGGGGGGGGGGTTGAACACGCAGCAGTGAAAACAGTACTGATTAACTGAGATGTTTTGCCCACGGCTAAATTGCCCAGAAATTAGTTTTGCAACACAGCTAAGCAAACAGAATGAAACCTGCAGGATTTAGAGGATTTATCATTTTTAATTGACAACTCCTTAACAATGATAAATACTGACAGGTAGGACATTAATTGCTTGTGGCTGTCTCTATCATGAGCAGTAATGTCATTAAAATGTGCTGTTTCATCTGTCGTAATTACAAACAAAGCCGGAGTATTCATAACAAAAGTAAACACTTGTACATGGAGCTAGCTCTCTGGATAATTAATCTCCTCCTGGATGTCAACATGACTAAAACTGGCTGATTCTCTGGTTATGTGGCCTGCACATCACGCTCATGCTGCAGCCTCGATGCTGAGTATCTATGGCACAAATTGGACACTTGAAGTGATGCATTGCTTTGTGTTGTGTCTGCTGGTGGAGGCCAGTCCAAGCAATGGAACAAGGAATTTTCCCAAGGGCGTTATTAATATTTAACATGAGACCTGTTATAAATTACACTGATCATCTGCAGATTACACATAACAGCCTACAGAAACATTAAAAATACACTATGTGAGACGAACTGTGAAGTAGGAAAACAGGCAAAGAAATGATAGCTCATGGGGATTTTGTCTCAAAATAGAAATGTTTCCTAAAATGTAAATAAGATTTTTGATCCTCACCGTCACCTCACTACATCACTTTGCCATGTCACTAAAACAGCCACATAGTCACAGACATCACGATCATCACCATCATCATCATCATGAAAAACCCATGAAGGCATGCAAAGTGTGAGAGTGGTTACAGTGTGAGTGTCTCTGCAGCTGTCCTGGATCCACTCTCTGTCTGCAGCTGTGTGTCTGTGTCTGTGTCTGCTCGCAGTCAGGTGGACTTTCTCAGCTCCGGACAGCTGGACGAGGAGACCCCATCTGTCCTCCAGTGTACCACCGTGTGTGTGCTCACTGCTCTCACTCATTTCCACCTAAAGGACCCGCTGAATCTTGTCAAGTGAAAAGCGCCACTTATACTTTTAGCATCTCCCCTGCAGAGCGGGATACTCTAATTCCCAGCAGAATAGCCTCACATACCAGCACGCGCGACAAGGCAGTTAAAACTCACCGGGCGCACCTTAAAGAGCTGTAAAGAAATATAAGACTGGTGTTAGAGTCATTAGAGCTTCGGAAAAGAAAAAAAACAAAAACAAAAAAACATTGTCGACCCTATAAGAAAATCTAATTTCTTACTTTTAGGTAACACAGCACCCTCAAAAAAAGAGTTAGGCTACAACACAGACTGCCGTGTTTTAATCAGCCGATAAATCAGCCATTGTTTCTTACCGAAATATTCTTTCTTCTGGGACTTGGAGCGCTGCTCTGCATCAGGTGAGACACGGCAGAGTTTTTGGTCGAGGAGACGGTAGGAGGTGTCCTGCCAGGATCACTGATAGCGGCTGAGATATCTCTTAAAGCGACCTTACGCCTCAGACACAGGCAGTGGGATGAACATGTTACATAATAAATTTCTCACGCACGCACGCACGCACGCACGGACGGACGGGCGGACGCGAAGGCACGCGCACACCGGGGACACACGGCCAATGGGGAAATTGAGTTATATGAAATTTGCACACTTGGTCTGATTCACCCACCTGAAGCCCAGAAACGTGCGAGTGGGCGACATTAGATACTTTATTTAGTGTGTTGCAAAGGGACACGCCGAGCCGTCACGTAATGAGCCAAGTTTCATACACTACAAAAAATATCACTGTAACATAATAATGTTAGTGCAATAACTCCTGTGGGGCTTTTTCTGCAGTTGCTGTACAATGCCTATAGACAGTGAAATATTCTGAGTCCTGCTTTTCATGTGTGGAACATTTTTAAATGGATGAACAGAAACAGTGTCAGTGAAATTCAGACACAGATTTTTTAATTTTTTTTTAGTTTTCACACCCTGTGAGATTCTGTGAAGCTCTTATGAATAGTGTGTTTGTGGAATAAGACAAACACAGGGTGTCAGTAACAGAGGACTTCATCTTGTCTTCCTATTTCACTGAAGTATAATTTATCACCCAAAACACTCTTATGCATAAATCATTAGAAAAGAATCCAAAATCATTTTTTGCTGCCAGCATTTAATAATGAATATTGATGGGTTCTAACTATGTGCATGTTTTCTCAGAAGACCATAAACCGACTTTTCTGTTGCTTATAAAGATGATTAACGTTGTCTCAGATGTCTTGAATCCCTCCACAGTTAACACCTAGGACTATTTTAAACCTGTTCTTTGCACCTCTCTTGCTTGTGCAACAGATTGTTAACTGCTTCTTCACACTGTCCCCACACACTCCTGTTTCAAGTGGAGGCTGTTTGAAAGAACAGTAATAAATTTTTGTCTGAGAAGCAGAACAGTGAAACGACTTGCCACCAACAACAACAGCTCCATGGGTGTTTACTTGACACAGAGACACGGGTGTCAAGTCACTCAACACGATTAATCTATGCACATATTTTTTAGAGAAAAGCAGGGATGCTGAAATTTTTTTGGTGAACTGTTCTGCAGGAGGTGCTTTTTTTTGCCCCTGATGTGAAACTATTCAATATATTGGGACTTGGAATGGATGTTGTACCTTTCCCCTTGTGCAATCTCCACTGCTGTCACTCACATTTTGATTTTTCTTTGGTCTGTTTTGACAGAAGGGGACAGAAAATCATTTCTAAGCGTATGTCTGAAATGTCTAGTCAACTGAGCACCATGGTGACAAGAAATAGTTTTTTTGACAGTGTGTCCACCAGTTTAATGTCACTGATAAGTGACAAGTTGATGGGCTCAAGGATGTTGACGCACGGAAAAGGGAACGTGGTTTCTAAAACGAATTTTTCTGTTTGAGAGCACACGAACATAAACAGAAAGCAGATTAGTTTTGTTCCGTCTTAGGTGATAAGATAGAACAAGAAGAGATAACATGTTCCAAACATTTTAGAAACATTGTCTCGCTGTCACATGAAATATTTGATTGCTCTTTGATGAGTTCTTTTATTGGGTACTCTCTATCAGCTGTTTAGACTCCTGTCTAAACAGGAGTTTGGTATTCACACAATACTGTACATCATGTAGCTTGATTCAAATATGGCCATATTTGGATTCAGAGCGAGATTCATATTACATAAGGCATTTGTACAACTTGTTCTTGTGGGAAAATTGTTAATAGTTTTATGTGTCGCTGGCAGTGTAAATCAATAAAGTACTTTGCCCCATTAACAATGAATTGTTCCCCTGCTGTCGCTCCCCATATCCCTGTTTAATAGTATTTGGGGAGCGATTGTTCGTGTGTATTTTTAAGCGCAAAGCCTGTTTTTTGTGATATATTTGTCTTGACAAAAACTCTCACTTTAACAGACTCTTAATATCCTCTGTGGTGCAATGGGGCTTCAAAATAGATTTTAACACCAGCCAGCCAGAACAAAGCAAGAAATGGTGGCTTGCTTTACTTTCACACTTTGTTCAGCTGTGTTTCAAAGGAGGATGAAAGAAAGAAAGAAAGAAAGAAAGAAAGAAAGAAAGAAAGAAAGAAAGAAAGAAAGAAAGAAAGAAACACAGACAGAAAGATGTAGCCGACAGTAAACTATAACAACCTAACATACAAGCTAACCACAGCGTGTTGTGCATAAGACTATATTAATATAGTATCTTATGATGGCAAGTGGATCTTTACTAATGTAAAAACAAATGAGACATTACAGTATTAATCCTGGTTATGATGAACACTTAATGTCTGCTATCCAGGCTGTAACAGTTTGTCATAGATCTTTGTTTGAGCTTGAAAAATATCTTCATTCTTCAATCTTCATTATAAGAAGAAAAAATACTATGGGAGCTGATTTGAATATAGTTTTTATAGTTCTAACTTTAACTTTAAACAAAACCTCTTAAACATCTAACATTGATGGTGAGAAGAGCAGGTGAAATTAAATTATGGTAGAATTTGTTTGAGGGTTTTTTGTTCATTAAGAGGATCATGTAATGAGTTAAAAAAAAAAAAAACAGAATGAAGAAAAAAATTGATATCACATTCCCACTGAACATCTAAATTGAGCCAAAAATGTTATGCTCTTCTGCCCACTTGCTCTGTTGTTGGTTCTCTACTGGACAATATGAGCTCAGGGCTGATAGTTCTGTTATGAAGGACAAAACATGTCTTACAGTTGAAGCACTGATAAATATAGGTTTGTAACAATAATTCATGTAAATGAGACAGAAAATACATTTTCCTGAGTTCTCACAGTGAGCAGTAAGGTCAAATACTTTCCAGATGAAGTCATGGGCAAGGCAGATACAACATATATACATAATAATGATATACAGTATATTTTGATAGCAGCGATGTTATTAAATAACATTGTCACTATCATAAATTATAACACAGGGTACCACAGTTGTATGTAAATTTCACCTCTTATAGTAAAATGAGGTCAAGGTCTGTGTGTGCGCTCCTGTTTCCAGCTCATGGTGTAGGTGTAAAAAGATCAGTATGAAAAGATTTACAGCTGCTAACCCTAACCATAATGCCACGGGGATGGGATTCTGTGCCAACATATTTTAGTGCTAGTCATATATTGGTTGGCATGAATATAACCATATGTCAGGCAGTGATAAGGCGCCTTATGCATACATGTATGTGCAGACTGTATGAGGCAGAGAATATCATAATTACACTAATCAATCAAAAGCTGCTCACACTGTCATCTACTCAGAGTCTCTCTGTACCTTTTGAGAATGGGTGACACTGACCCTTTTTTTTTTAAATGCCATGTTTTACTGGGCGGTGTGTGTAAATGTATGTGTGATTTACGATTTTTATGTGTAGTGTGCTGCGCTTGATGTGTGTTCAGTTTGATATTTAACGATATTGTGTATGCCAATAGGCTATGTGATGGGGATTTTTCATGTTAAGAAAGAAAGAAAGAAAAGGAAAATCTGAAATACACTGTTTATAATCCATCATAACTCTTAGTTTAATTGGAAGTTTGAGCTGTCATTGTTCACCATGCTTGCCTCATGTGAGCAGTAAAATTACTCCAGGAATTTAATGGCTCGAAAAGCTGACAGCCAACAATACAAAATCTGAATATGGCTGAACTCTAATCCATTTTGTCAACTTTTCGAGTCAATGAAAATCAAACACTGGAACAGGGAAACCACATTGATCAAGTGGTTCAATTTTTTTGCCTTCAACTCTCTCATTGCAACCCTGAGACTGTACACACTGTGTTCACAAAGCAATTCATCGAGCGAAGGACAATCTCCCCTGCAGTATTACAAACCCTTACATGAACCAAGTTGAGGTGATCCTTGACACCATCACTGTAGCACAGTCCTATAAATCCCTGAGGCTGTAAATAACCCCAACCAAGAACAAATGCCACGATGCCTCAGGTAGTCGTGGATGACAAACAACCCCCATCAGTTGCACAGATCACATCTGACACGGAAGCTCACCCTGCTGCTCCTCTGTTAAAATGTGACTTTTAGGAGCAGCACATGGGCTACTGGTGAGTATTACCGACAAACACATTTCATATACAGTGAGATTGGATCATTATTTAACACAGGTAACGCTCCCTCAGTAGTTCTTTTCACTTGGACTGTCTTATTTTGATCATCTGTGAGCACTTAGTAAGTAAATATTCAAGAGTTACAGTGGCTAAAGGGGTCACTCATAGTGAAGATACCACAAATATTCATCCCCCTTAGCTCTATAGAACTTTTTAGTGTCTTTCAGCTCATTGTTTTGGTTTCATAACCCACATCTTTACTATTTTAGTTCATTCTCACCACACCCACCAACCTTGTTATTGTAAGCTGACCAGCAGATGGATAAAGTTAGCAATTAGTGGGTGAACATAGTAGAGATAAAGAGCTAGCTATTTCCTGCAGTAGTAGGTGGAGGCCATTAATGGACATAAAAGGAGTTTTTACAGTTCTTACATTACATTCAGATGGTAAACACAACTCTGAATGAATGCTAATGTTACTCTGTCTGCTGGATGTGTAGCCACTGTAAATAGGCAGCTGTTTGCTTTACTTAAGAGGTGAGTGATGAGATTGTGTGGAGTGTTCACAGCCTGATTCCACTGCCCACAAGTAGCCAAAACTCAGTTATTGCAGATTTACAGCTCACAGTACATAATCTATTTTATGATTATGGGGAAAGGAATAGTTAGACAGCTTGGGAAATATTCTTATTCTCTTTCTTCCCAAGAGTTTGATAAGTATAACAGTATACTTATTATTTTAATTGTGCTGAGAACCAGGACAATTTTGCAGTGAATTTTGACAACTGGGACATTTTAGTATTTTACAGATATTTGTCAGGACTTGGGACATCCAGCTTGAAACCATGACAATCTCTGACAACC